TTATTTTTTCTTCCTGTCTGATTGCTGTGGCTAAGACTTCCAGTACTATTTAAATAAGAATGGTGAAAGTGGACATCCCTGTCTTGTTCCTGTTCTTAAGAGGAATGCTTTTACTTTCTGCCCATTGAGTATGATGTTGGCTGTAGGTCTTTCATAAATGGGCTTTATTATTTTGAAATATGATCCCTCTATTCCCACATTGTGGTGTATCACATTTATTTATTTGCAAATATTTTACTATATTTCCATCCCTGGGATGAATCCCACTTGGTCATGGTGAAGAACTTTTTGATGTATTGCTGGATCTGATTTGCTAGTATTTTGTTCAGGATTTTTGCATTTATGTTCATCAGAGATATTGGCCTGTAGTTTTCTTTCTTTGTAGTGTCTTTATCTGGTATTGGAATTAGAATTATGCTGGCCTCATAAAATGAGTTTGTAAGTCTTCCTTCTATTTGAATTTTTTGAAATAGTTTGAGGAGAATGGGTGTTAGTTCTTCTTTGAATGTTGAGAGAAAATAATTTATGACATGACCTTGAAGTTTTATTGTTGGTGCCAGGACTTTCACACTTTAGCCACATCCTGACCTCACCCCCACCCTTCGGGAACTCCCAAACACACACACACACATTCCCACTGGACACGCGGAGCAAAATGAATGAACACGGGAGATGTGCTCATCAGCTCAGCCCCCGCAGGAGAAGAGCAAAGCCTTTCCATGGCTCTGGCAAGAGTAGGAATAGATGCAATTCCACAGGGTCTGTCCCTGATCATTACTGTGTCTGTGGGGAGGGAGCTGGGTTCCTGCGAACAAAGAAAAAGGCTTTGCTGGTGACCGCGAGCCTGTCACAGAGCTCTGTGAGGAGAGCTGTGTCTGGGCTCCACCTTCCCAGGTGTCCCCTGTAGAGAGGGGACCCAGTCCCATCCTTCTCTGTGAGGTCCCTCTAGGTCCAAGGCCATGTTTGAGGCACGGAACACAGGTTCTACCCCTGTAGGGAAGGAGCGCCCATTGGCCTTGCTGGAGGGGTTGGCAAGTGGGCTGTGGGTGAGGGGAGTGAAGGAGACGCCTGGCTCTGAGGGCTGGTGACAAAGCCTTCCACGTGCGCTCCTGAGCCTGCTTCACAGCGAGGTCCTGAGGGGTCTCTTGGACCACTGCCTGTCCCCATGGTGTGGTCATGCTGCCTCTGACCCTCTAAGACCCTCCTCGTCATCCTCATTTGGCAGCTCTTGGCCTCGCCATGGCTGTCAGAGCAGAGGAAGCAGCTGACCACCTGTGCAGGATATGATCTGGATAAGGGGGACAAAGACCTCCAGGGGCCACGTGGCCCGGGGGCCTCTTCCTACATGAAAAACCCTGCAGTCAGAGCTAAATGTTTGCTTGCCTGAGACTGATCATCCTGCCCCGCCCTGTACCTGCTTGTCTCTGCAGATTCCCGGAACAGCGTCTCACTTGTCCAGGGGAGAGAGGGCGTTCTCTTACAGGTAAACCCCAGTCTGTTGGCATGGAGACTCTCTGTTTGGCCCTGATTTTAGCAGAGGGATATGAAGCATGTGACCTGTTTCCTTATGATTGCTGGATCCAGAAGTTACTCCCCAAGGCTGGTTTTCAAGATCCCTGATAATGTGTGTCGAAGCACTGAGTAAGCATCTTATGTCACTTAACTCATTTCATTCTCTCAGCGATCCTACCAGGTAAGGTCTATTAGTCAGGGGGTTTTACAGATGGAGAAACTGAGGAACAGAGAAGCACAGACAGGTCACACAGCTAGGATGTAGCTGGATTGGAATCCAGGCTGTTGTGCTCAGAATCCAAATAAACTATGGTACTTGTTAGGATCAAGCTGAGTGTCACAGTAACTGGAGGTAGTAAATCATTTCTAAGTGAGAAAATTTGTCAATTCTGCGCTGCCCCCAGTCTCTGACAGAAAGCCCCAGGGCTCTTACCCTGAGTGACCCATGGAAACTTTTTCTTTGGGTCAGTGTTAAATATCCTAAATATGCCCCCCTTTCATGCAATAAGATTTTTCTCTCTCTCTCTGTCTCTCTCTATTTGGGATATTTGCAAAGCACAACTCCCTTCTGAGTTTTAAATGCTGTAGTTTTTTCCTTCAATGCAGGATTGAAGTTACTTTAAAAAATTCTTCCAGTTTATTATTTTTATTGTATTCTTGATAGCATTACAGATGTCCCCCAGTTCTGTCCCCCTCCTCATCCCCCTGCTCCCAGCCCCTCCCCACCCTGACCTGTTGTCTGTGTCCATTGGTTACGCATATATGTATGTAAATTCTTTGGTTAGTCTCTTCCTGTCCCCCGCCCCCACCAGATCTGTCAGTCTGTCAGATCATGCATTCATGCCTCTGGGCCTATTGTGTTCATCAGTTTATTAAGTTCATTAGGTTCCACTTAGAAGTGAGATCATGTGATATTTATCTTTCTTTAAATTCCTTTTTAAACTTCATTTTAAAAGTCAACATAAAAAACCATGAAGAAAAACAAAAGTAAAATAGTGTTTTTTAGTTTAGTTTTGTTTTTTATTTTCTCACCCAAGGACAATTTTGCATTTATGTTCAGGAAGAGTGGGAGGGAGAGAGGAAGGCAGAAAGAGAGAGGAACATTGATGTGAGTAACGCCCATCAAGTGGTTGCCACCCATTTTCCCCCAACTGGGGCCAGAGACAAACTATAACTGAGATATGTGCCCTTAGTGGGAACTGAACCCGGGACTCTCTGGTCCATGGGCCGATGCTCTAACCATTGAGCCAAACCAGCCAGGGTTAAAATAGTGTTTTTTATTTAAACTAAAAGTTAACCAAAAAAGAAAAGGTAAATCTGAAAGAGTTTACTATACCATAATTTTGTTGGTTCTCTGATCCCAATAATTTGGATTCTTCCTTGAACATTTTGTGGTCTTTTTAATACTGTTAATAACAGCTAACATGTAACATGCACCATCTAGCAGTCTAATGGTATTGAGTCTTCACATCAGCCCTTGACTCCAATCTGTACATTTCATGGTCTCTGTTCCTCACACCAGCCCTGTAGACAGCCGTGGTCCCTGTTGTACAGATGAGCACAGGGAGCCTTAGACACAGGACTTCCCGATCTTGGAGTTCGCCTTGCAGAATCGAGATCGGATGACGGTCTGACCGACGCTGTTAACCACACCGCTTTAGTCCTCATGTAAGGATCTGGCTCTTCTCAGTCCCTGCTAGTTTTCCTGCCAGGGAAGAACAGAGAAACGATCGACGGACTTTCCCCTTAGTCTGTGCACGGTTGCTTTTTCTTCAATGTGTCGCTGGCGTGGTCACGTCCGTCTTCATTTCAGGTGTCGGTCTCCTTATTGTATCTGCTCCAGGCCTTTCCTCGGATAAGGAAACACATCTGGCTTCTCAAGCTGACAAATTGAAAATGCAACCTCCTGCCAGGGTTTCAAAGGAGAAACACTGTGTTCCCTCTGTACCGCACCTTCTAGTGTCCTGTGCTCACCAGGGAGCCGGTGACAGCGTGTGTGTGCTGCCACTCTAGGGGTGTCTCCTCCAAAACTGTAAAAAGGAGCAGGTGACACCCCGTGTTCCATGGGGTTTGTCTGTACCTCACCTCGGATGAAATGAGCAGTTTCACTAAGAATTCTATTGGCCTCCTGCTTTATTCCTACCATTTAGAAATGTCTCCTCCCCAAAACATCTTACCACACTCTATTACATGCACAGTTCTGTGGTACCAGATTGTTTTCATTATGAACTTTGGTTAGTCAGTTCTAACCATCTGAGAAAAGGAAGCAATGACTGTCCTGGGCCACGGGCCCGGGGGCAGCGGGAACGAGACCAGCCCGCTGGGCTTTGCCTTTGTGCAGCCCCAGGTCCCGGCTCAGGTGCACTGAGCCTGCCTGCCCTTCCCCGCAAGGTCTCACCACCCTCACCTCGCCCCTGTCTGCTCTGACCCATCCCAGCACTGTCCTTGCAGAGAGAAATAGTCTTTACAGTCTCCTGCGTCCTCATTAGCTCTAAAGACATGCAGACAGGACTTTTTCTGAAGTCATTGTGTAATTTTGTTTCATTCCTTTGTCCCTTACTGCCTATGATGACATAATGTGCTTACTCCGGAAGAGGCCTAAAAGCTTACAGAATGTCCCTGCCCAGAGGTCTCAGGGAACCAGAATTCGGCTTCGTCCAGGGGGACCCACGCACAGAGTGTCCGATGTGCCCACAAAATGACATAACTCATTCTGCCACTAAAATATTGTTGTTCAAAAATTTGTCAGTTTCTTATTTTATATATCTAGTCATTGGATTTTCAACATATATATCCTTTAACCATGCTGTGCTTGCATTAATTTAGCAATAAACTAATTTATACCAAGTCACAACTGTATTTGTCAGCTCCAATGAAATCAACTCAGTCGTATTTGAGTGGTTCCGGAAGATGGTTTACTGCTGAATCTGAAATAAGCGGGTAGAATAGTATGTGAGAAGGTAGGAGGATAAGTGAGCAACATATAAAGAACAGAGGGGCCTCATGACTTCATATCTAGGACCCAGAAGGTGAGCAAGCCCAGGAAGTGGAACTGCCCCATTACAGATGTTTGGTCAGGGTCATCTCTCGTCCTTTCTACATCAACAATCCAGACACTCAGCCTCGAAGGGCAGCCTGGATCCCTGAATTCTCCACAACCATATATGTGTATAGTGTGTGTATCCTATTAGCTAGAGTACATAATAATGTATCCTATTATCTTGTATTTTATTACCTGTAGATAGATACATATATATTTCATTATTCCATTGATCAAGGGGCATTTTTTTTCTAATTTCTATGAGTAGGAGAGTTAGTTTGTTTGTCTTAACAATATATCTAACAATAAATGATTGAGAATCCATTCAAAGTAATACATTTCTAAATGCCCACACTGTAACATTGAGTGAATATTTTGTGTCTCGATTGACTTACAGCTGCGACCTTCCTGTCCTGGTCGTGAACTTATCCGTCTCTACCCCAGGAGAATGGGAGGCAACCAGACATGGCTCACGGAAGTCACCCTGCTGGGATTCCAGGTTGAGCCAGGACTGGAGTTTTTCCTCTTTGGACTTTTCTCTCTGTTCTATACCCTCACCCTGGTGTGGAATGGAGTCATCCTGGGCCTTGTCTGCTTAGATCGTAGACTTCACACCCCCATGTACTTCTTCCTCGCACACCTGGCCATCATAGACATGTCCTATGCTTCCAACAATGTCCCCAAGATGCTGGTAAACTTAGTGAGCCAGAAGAGGACCATCTCCTTTGTCCCTTGCATTATGCAGACTTATTTGTATTTGGCTTTTGCTCACGCGGAGTGCCTGATCTTGGTGGTGATGTCCTATGATCGGTTCGTGGCCATCTGCCAGCCCCTCCATTACTCTGTCATCATGAACTGGAGGGTGTGCGTGGCCCTGGCCGCCTCTTCCTGGGTATTCAGCTTCCTCTTGGCTCTGGTCCATTTAGTGCTCATCCTGAGACTGCCCTTCTGTGGGCCTCGTGAAATCAACCACTTCTTCTGTGAGATCCTGTCTGTCCTGGCGCTGGCCTGCGCGGACACCAGGCTCAACCAGGTCGTCATCTTTGTTGCCTGTGTGTTTGTCTTAGTGGTGCCCCTCAGCGTGGTGCTGGTGTCCTGCATACGCATCGCCTTTGCCATCCTGAGGATCCAGTCTGGGGAGGGCTGCAGGAAGGCCTTCTCCACCTGCTCCTCCCACCTCTGCGTGGTCGGGCTCTTCTTTGGCAGTGCCATCGTCATGTACATGGCTCCCAAATCCCGCCACCCTGAGGAGCAGCAGAAGGTCCTGTTCCTGTTTTACAGTCTTTTCAACCCTATGCTGAACCCACTGATCTACAGCCTGAGGAACTCAGAGGTCAAGGGCGCCCTGGGGAGAGCTCTGTGCAAGGAGAGGCCAGCTTGAGGGACCTCAGAGAGCAACATGTGGAGGGGCGTGTCTCCCTGTGCACTACGGTAGGAGGCATTTCTTGCCTTGTGCTGTTCTAAATGCCATATTAAAATAGACTGTGACAGGCCTAAAGCAATAACCTGAACCATATAGGCTTTTGAAAATAAGAAAGATGCATGTCTCTGTGACCTGGGGTAGGGCCAGATTCTCAGACATGATCCAAAAAGCACGAGGCATAAAATCTGAAAACTTAATAGATATTGAGCCTTTTAAAAAATGAATCACTCATTTTGGGGGCAGGGTGGGATCGGGAGGAGGGTGTCAATGAGGGAAAAAGGAGACACATCTTTAATAAAAATTAGTTAATAAAAACTGAAAAAAGAAATATGAATAATTCTGTTCACCAAAGTCAGCATTAAGAAAAAAGAAATGCAAGTCACAGAACATGTGGGTTGTGGATATATTTTAAGTATTATGATCAATCAAGTGTGGCCACAAGGGGAGACACCAGAGAGGCTTAGGGGGAAACAAAGTAGATCACACTCACAGGGCTTAGAGACACAGGGCATGGCCCACCGTGCAGGGCTCCATGGGGCAGACACCAGGAACATGGGGAGGTTAAACCATCACAGCAAACACCCAGGGAAGGGCCAGGGTGCGAGCAGGTGGGGGATCTAATACTACATCTCACTGTGTCGAGAAAGGGACCATGCAGAGCGATGGTGCAGGAGCTTCCATGGCTGGGGATACTCTGCCCCCGGAGCCCTAGTCACCTCACAGCAGTGATCTCCCTGGGAATGTGCCGCCTCTGTTCCCTGGAAACACCCGGCGCTGTGTTCTAGCGTGTGCTGCTGTTTGCTCATGTGTCCTAGCGTGCGCTGCTGTTTGCTCCTGTGTTCTAGCGCGTGCTGCTGTTTGCTCCTGTGTCCTAGCGTGTGCTGCTGTTTGCTCCTGTGTTCTAGCGTGTGCTGCTGTTTGCTCCTGTGTCCTAGCGCGCGCTGCTGTTTGCTCCTGTGTCCTAGCGCGCGCTGCTGTTTGCTCCTGTGTCCTAGCGCGCGCTGCTGTTTGCTCCTGTGTCCTAGCGCGCGCTGCTGTTTGCTCCTGTGTCCTAGCGTGCGCTGCTGTTTGCTCCTGGGTTCTAGCGTGCGCTGCTGTTTGCTCCTGGGTTCTAGCGTGCGCTGCTGTTTGCTCCTGGGTTCTAGCGTGCGCTGCTGTTTGCTCCTGGGTTCTAGCGTGCGCTGCTGTTTGCTTCCTGGGTTCTAGCGTGCGCTGCGTTTGCTCCTGGGTTCTAGCGTGCGCTGCTGTTTGCTCCTGGGTTCTAGCGTGCGCTGCTGTTTGCTCCTGGGTTCTAGCGTGCGCTGCTGTTTGCTCCTGGGTTCTAGCGTGCGCTGCTGTTTGCTCCTGGGTTCTAGCGTGTGCTGCTGTTTGCTCCTGGGTTCTAGCGTGTGCTGCTGTTTGCTCCTGTGTCCTAGCGTGCGCTGCTGTTTGCTCCTGTGTCCTAGCGTGCGCTGCTGTTTGCTCCTGTGTTCTAGCGTGCGCTGCTGTTTGCTCCTGTGTCCTAGCGCGCGCTGCTGTTTGCTCCTGTGTTCTAGCGTGTGCTGCTGTTTGCTCTGCTCTTCTCGGTTTCCTGTCAGTTGGAAAACCCACGTGCCCAGTTCTGACCTCGTGCATTTGTGTCCTTTCCTGCCTCTCCCCCGGTGTTAAATCGTCCCCTGACACCTTGCTCTGCGATTTGATCACAAATATCTTTTGCCGTCTTCTCTCAAGAAGATTTGAACAATCTGGCTTCCATCCATGATAGTCAAAACATCTATCAGCAAGAAATATATTGAAGTAATTTGTACAGGAAGAGCAGTTGGCAAATGTAAACTTCATGCCCAGATAATAATAACTCCTTGATCTCTAAAAGCAACATGAAAATAAATCATTCATAATTTTAACTCACCAAACCCTGACAAACTGGATAATAACTTCAAATTCTAAAGCAAATTTCTAAAATACAATGCTTCCATCTGTGAGAATAAAGCAAAATAAAAAAACTCTTTTCTGTCACCAAACTGTAATTATTTGCGGTTAAGCCACAAGCGGGGATGGATCAGCGCAGCTGCGGGGAGAGAGGCGGAGCGGGAGGCGGCAGCAGCCACAGGGCAGGGCCCGGGGACGCAGGCCCTGCGGGCATGCTCTTGCAGGTGCAGCAAAGCCCAGCAGTTCTGGAGGTGTTGAAGGTCATCGAGGTGAATGTTTCCAAACACCTGTCCGGAGGACGGCTGTGCAACACCGACGAGGACCACAGCTGACATCCCGAGGCCGCGCTGTGGGCCCCTGTGGGCGGTGCCCGTGAACATCTGGTCCTGCACGAGGCGCTGTGGCTCCTTCACTTCCTGGAGCGTGGCGGCCACAGGGTGGGGAGGGAAAGTGAAGAACTGGCTACGCAGGCAGATGAATAGAAGCAAATGACGAAAATGAACATTTTATCTGACACTGAAAACCTTATCTCACAAGAAAGGAAGTGGAAGGAAAACACTAACGGGGATTCTCCTTCTGGTCCGACAGTGTGACGAGCTCTGTGGACATGGTCCTCCGTGAAACGGGTGGAATTTGTTCTAGACAAGAGGTTAATATCTCTGGAAATGGCCCTAAGAGGATACATCAAATGAAGAAACATTTATTCAAGAAAATCTACCAAAATTCAGTAAGGACAGGGCCTTCCTGTGATATCTGAACCACGATCCCCTGCTCCCTCCCCTGCTCAACTCATGGACCAGACATTCCAGACACAGGCAGGCAGACCACAGGGCGCCCCCTCTCCCTAATCCCCATCACTGGGCTGTCTCCCAGGAGGGGCAGGACAGCAGCATCCCTTATGCTGCTCCTGGGCTACCTGCTACTGAGGCTAGTTCAGGGGCATTGACTCGGAGAAGTGGGGGATCCCTTCTCCTGCCCAGCCCCCACTCCTGGGACAGAGACATTTCCTTGGGCAGAAAACCAGCAAAGGCTAGTCAAGGATTTCTGAGGCTAGAGCCCCCGGCCTGACTCCTCTCTGAGAGCCCAGCTCCTACAATGGAGACCACTCAGGGAGGAGTGTGCCATGGCCCTCAACCTAGCCCAAAGCAGTGACTCAGAGAATTTTCTGGAGGTAAAGTAGGCCAGTCATCAAAGAGCTGGTAATCTCTCCTCCAGGAGCTGACTTCATTTGCAACACACTGTGGAGAAATCCAAGCCTAGGGGCTCTCTGAGAACCAGCCCTTTGCAAAGAAGTTGGTAGATTCTTTGGAGACAGGGGCTGAACTGTTGGCTGGCTCGGTTGCAGGCAAGAACTGGAGAAAAAAGTAGCTGGGAGGGACACTCTAGGGGTTGGAAGGGATCTCAAATACTAAGTAACCTCTGATGGATTCCTTCAGTGGGGCCCAAATTTGATTTGTTTGATCTTTCCAGCAATTTATGCCCTGGCTCACTGTTGAAAACAGGAGACTGATCAGCCCACAGTTAGTGTGGAGTTAACAGCTGGGCATGGTGAGGGAACAGGCAAAGAGCCCTGGCCAAACCCCCTCATCCCTGGATGAATGGAGTCGTCCCCCAGGTTGCAACCCATGGAAAGCTACATCCTCTGATGTCATCACTTAACACTAAAGTACAGTGCAGGGGAGAACAGACTTCACTAAAATAATCCAGCCTAATAATAAACAAATAAATAACCAAGCAGGTGACAATCAAAAGCCCCAGAGGTGATGTGAGGAAGGTACAAAGACCCTAAGTCTCATCTAAAATGTCCTTCTTCCAACAAGAATTATGAGCCAGGTACAGAAACAGGAAAGGGTGACCACACTCGGGGAAAAAGCAGACACAGAAAGTGCCTGTGAGAGGGACCAGGGGCTGGATGTAATAGACAAAGACTCAGAGTAGCCATTAGAAACATGTCCGATGACCTACAGGAAACTGTGACTAAAGGAGTGAGGACTGTACCTGTGTGGACCCCCAGGTCACATTTCTGTAGACAGAGAATGCATTTCCCCGCTCAGGTTGTCCCCGCGGGCGGAGGGATACCGGTCACACATCCGTCGTGCTGCCTGCGGCCCTCTGCGTGGTGGTTTCACAGGGACCTGGACCGGGAGCCTAGACACTTGCTATCTGGAATGGGACGAGGGAGGGGAGAGGGATTTGCTGACGTTCCCTCATGAGTGTGTGCTCACACTCAGCACACACAGGGCCCGGGGAGAGTTTCTGGGGGGATTTGAGGGAAAGGCGTAGGGGAGGGCGCTGGTACCACTGTGCAGTTCCCCACATTATCCCAATAGTCTGTCTTCCCGCCTTTCACAGATGCCCCAGATGCAGGAGTGACCCCTCAGCAAGAGACTGCTCTGTGCCCTTCAGCGCTCCTGCCCGTTCCTGGAGGCTGCTGGGTGCCCGTGCTGCCCCGCTGACCTGGCGCTGCTGTGGGCCATCGAACCGCACAGGGGCCGAGCTCACCCTCCCGAAGCGGAACCGGGGGCACCTCCGTGACGTTGAGAGGAGAGGCAGTGGCTGACAGCGAGTAAAGGAAGGAAGGGGGCTCTAATGTCCCATCGGTGCCTACGAGAGGCTCACAGCTGCACCGTTACACCCGCCGCAGAAGGGTGACGTCGTGTTTGCCCAAACCGGCCTTGCTGGTAGGACCCGACAGGGTCAGGTGGAAGCCTGCGGTCCCAAGCGGCATTGCACTGGGAGACATGTTGGTCATGTGACATGATGGTAACCTGGATCAATTGTTGGCAACTGGGGTCCTGATGCCGTGGCAGTAACTTTGACCCCTAGTTTTTAGGTTGTTCCTACCACACCGGCTCTCTTTTGAGGAGAAGTTTCCAGAAGCCACTGTCCACGTGGCCGCCGGACCCCGTGCTGAACAGTTCTCAGCTGCTGATCACTGCACCTGTGAACCTTGATGATCCGCTGCGGAGAAAGGTCCCTGGTTGAAAGGACAAAGTGCATCAGCTCTCTCGGTGCGTGGTGGGCTGTGCACAGGTATATTTATTTTTGTG